AGGCGGGGTGAGGCAAGCGGTGGGAGGTGGCACAGATCCAGTAACAGTTCTGTGGCCTTGGTTAAAAGGTCAAGAATTGTATTCCGAAGTCCAGTCAAGGAGCTATCGTGGTGAGGAGTCAGGCATCAGCCGCTGCTTACCAAGGGGAACTGAACTAAAAAACATGAAAAACCCAACCCATGCAACTGCTTCAATTTGCAGAGCAGAGCTTAGATGTACGAACGCGCACGATGTGCCGTGCTTTCCTTTTCATTGCAAGATCATCACCCTTGATTGGGTTAGTGTGGCCTTGGTAGTGCAGGTTAATGGTTGGACTGGATGATCTTAAAGGTCTTTTCCAACCTAAACGATTCGATGATTCTATGATCGTTGGAAGCAAGTCTCCTACTTCCACAGCATCGACAGAAGCAGCTGCATACGCTTTTGTGCCTCCATTTAGAAGCTAGCTTGTACAACCAAACTGCAACCCAATTAATAACCCATCCAGGGGAACAGACATTAGCAATCCAGAGTGACTAAAATCCGCTGCTATGGTTTTGAGCAAGTGTAACAAACCGGGCCACATCTTCTGGAGCAGCAGCAGAGTGTTCATTTTTATCAGTAAGTTAATTAATTGCCCAGGGTTCTGATTCGTACTTTTCTTTTGCTTGTTCATGAGTTTCAAACTACCAGCCAAAAAAATGCTTACACTGCATAGTTAGATGCATGCCCACAGAAATCAGTTGCTTTTTATCAGCTTTTTCCATTAATTATGCTTGGATACTAATTAAATACATGTCTGAAAAACTACCAGCTAAAAAACTTGCATTATGAGGACCAAAATCAGTGTGCCCGTAGAACTTAAATCATGGCTGGTTTCCCATCCCTGCCCCATCTTTATTTTGCACTTTCCTTACTTGGAAATACTATGTATTTTTAGGCAAACATTCTCACCCTACAGACATGCAAGCCTTTCACAAAAACATTACCAAACAACTAGATGGAGAATGGCAGACAGCGTGGCAGGGACAGGGCAGACAAGCAATGGAGAGGCGATGCACCGAGACGCATGCAGAACAGGAGGTGGTGAACATGCATGCGCAGGTATTAGGCTAGCGCCAGATTAACGAGCTTCGGGGTTTGGTTAGCAAGGAAAACCAGGAGCCTGTTGAATCTGTGTACAACGCACGGAAGTGGCACTTGGAACTGCGAGCTGGGACCTCATTGCAGACCACCTCGCGGCAGGCGTGACAAAAGCCGCAGTCAAAACCACCTACGCTTCTGTCTTTGAAAACCGCTTTAGTCATGTCAGACTACATCCCAACCAGCTAGCTACCAGATTTGGTGTTTTAGACAAAACCATTTCTGAAATTTGAAGTGTCTTAATTTTCCTAGCAGAAACTGTATGCACGATTGAAATAAGGTATCGGCATCCTCTCACCGAGAACTGCGGTAACATTGCTTTCAAACGGAAAGCAAGTCCGAATTTTAAAGATTGCCTAAAGTTAGTTTATTCTGTATGAGAAATTTTTGATCAGCTAATAATAGTGAGGCTTTACACAAATTCAACAAGTAAACTCGGCGTGGATTTTATTACAATGGGATGGAGATAAGGCCCAAGCTCACCTTGGACGTCTTCTTCTCCACCATCACCATCCTCTTCCTCATTGTAAGCCAGCTCAGCCTGTTTGTCTGCCTCATACTCACCCACGTTCCCATCATCCCCATTATAATCTGCCAGTTTAGAACCCTGCTGCGGATCAACAGGGGATTCATTCTCATCAAAGAATCGGCCTGTGAAGTAGGCAAAGGATTAAGTCAGAAGCAGAGAGGAAAGAATTAGGAAGATTCTAAACGAAAGCAGACCGCAGGTTAAGACAGTTGGGTTTTTGTAGCAGTTTCGGCTGGAGGAGAAGGGGGGTAGAAGGGAGAGGGCTTGGGCAGGGGGAGAACAACCAGGCTTGGGCAACACCTCCGTGCACAAAGGATGTACGTGGTCATTCAGCATTTGGATCTGGTGAAATCTGGCGGTTACAAGCGTCACTCTTCGGAGAAAAGAGCTAGAGTAAGCACCCAAACAAAAAGCTCCATCTTTGGTTACCTACAAACACCAATACAAGTTTTCTTCAAATGCTGAAGAGCATACAGTGCAAGTTTTTGTACCTCGACTGACATTTTTCCACACACAGAGCAATATATTGCTGACTTTGTAACTGGTAATGTCTGCAGAGCATGTACCATACCGTCAAGCGTAAAAATCTAGCAGAGATCTGCCTTGCATCTCTGAACTGATTTTTTTTAACTACCTAATTAATTGGCTTTACACTCTGCTTTCCTATTAAGCTTTAACAGTTTTCAAAATGTTCCAAATCCAGTATTTTTGTCTCCCAGCAAAGAATTAAGAATAGTTCCAGATACTGAAACAATGCACGAGAAAAACAAGAATTAGCTGGAACTATGAAGCGACGAGACAGTCGGGCAAGCACACAATGAGAGATTAACGGCACAACGTCAAGTTCAGAGCTGGTGGTTAATGGGATACAAGGAGATCCGTTCAAGTCCAACGCAGTTCAGTCTGCTTGCCCGTTGCTTAAAGAACGCAACACTGAGTCTGCAGAGGATACAAGTCTGGAGGGATTATGCATAAATGAAAAAAATAGGATTAAAGTGCAATACAATCTTTACAGACTGGAAATGGACCGAGAAAAAAGTCTGCCAAGACAGATGTTAAGTGATTCGCAGTGGAAGCAATTAAGCGGAGAAGTAAAACTGAAGAATACGATTTCAACATTAGGATTAAAAAGGAGGTTGGGTTACAATGAACAGATGTAAAAATGAAAATATTTCTTAAAACAATGGAAAACTGTCATGTGTGGCAGTATATAAAAATCAGGACAAAGAGTAACAGTGCTTATCTGGGTGGGGAAGAAAAGCAGAAGAATCACATCTAGTGCAGCGCAAACGTACAGGAATGGAAGTTTCGGTTATTCTCATAAAATAAGCAGAAACTATGATCTGTTTAGAAGTCAGAAGTTTAATAGCTTACTCATTCTCTATTCACCTCTAATGGAGTAATCCTTGCTATTATCGTTTGTATTTTTGGACACAGCATTATATATGGAAATCAGACAGAACTGTACAATTCGCACATGTCAAATACAAAACAAGCTACGGAAAGACAACTGAATGCACTTAACTTACAGAAGAAACGAGCCTGTAGCTATGCCAGACATACTGGGACACCCAAGTACCAAATACATTTCAGCTGACAGAAGGAAAGGTTAAAATAGTAGAAAGATCCCAGGAAACCCAGCAAGCCCATACAGGCCCATGAGCTGGAGCGCGCAGGAGCAGCCCGGCATACAGCACGGCCCTGGTGAGCTCGGATTCTGGCACAGCTTTGGGATGCTGCTACTCTTCCCCTGCAGGTGCTCTGTCCTGCGCTGAGCGTTTGGTATTTTAGCTCAAGCTGCTTCAAATCAAGGGAGGAAAGGCCAAGCCCCTGAGCACACACAAACCCCCCCAGCAGTCGTTTGGGCTAGGTGGTCTTGGCAGCACCTCCCCTGCCTGTGCGTGCGGAGTCAGGCATGCAAAAGATTTAGGCAGCAGATGACTTCTCGCACAACACCAGGAGACCATCAATACTCTAACACAAGGCACGTGTAAGGGTCTTGGGATGCCAAGACTTCAGGCAAACACCACAACAGGAGTCGCTGGTTGCTGGAGCCAGTAACGCACCAATTGCTTTCTGAAACAGTCAGACAAGATCTGGAATCTTGACGGCATTGTGCATCTTTCAAATCACTCCAAATGTTGAGTCAGTGTCTGTAATGCAGGCATGACACGGGCTGACCATCTGAGGCGCAGCGGAACGCGTTATGAGGCACAAGAGGTTAGTGACAGCACGGGATGCCCCATAAGGATGGCACCGATGCTAAAATCCGCCGGAAACATTTGCTGAAATGAATTCTGAAGACACACGTGGGGTATTACTCCAAGCTGGACCCTTACACACATGCCACTCGGAGCAGCTGTCCACACGCTCATCGCTAAGGACCTACTTAGAGGACAACTCTAAACAGCAGCACAGACCAGAGGTTTGCTGCACCCATTTTTTTTTTCCCAGGGTGCCAGCTAAGAGCACAAACGGTGAATGTTGCTACAGTCGCTTTCAGATTCTGCTTCTTTTGAAATGGAACAGCCGCAACGTGCCCATCTCTGTACCTAGCACCAAAGTCACTTTTTAAATCTATGCCACCAAAATAAAAAAGAAAAACATCTTTTGCGAAGAAGTTCTCCAATTCTGAAGTGGGACAGATACAACAGACGCCCTGACCAATGATGGTTACTCATCTCATCCATGGGCAGATGCACAGCACACTTTGAAGCTCTCAGTAACCAAAACCCCGGCCAGGGAATTGTCTACAGCGAAAGCTGTGTGCCAGAGCCAGGCTCCTCTAGGCCAGAGGCATGAATTTCTCACCGATGGACCTTTCGGAACACCCACGGCTGACCAATCAGGAAATAAATCTTCTACAAACCTGGATTAGCTATTTCCAAACGTGACAGAGAAATTCCCTCCCTCACTGCATCATTACAATGTAAGTTACTCCAAATATGAAGGAGCAGAGAAAAAAGGAAAAGACTAATCCATGACGACTGCTGACTCCTGGGTACCCACTCACAGCCTGCAATGGATGCATTCCACTCGCTGCTCCTGCCAACAAAGCTACCCCTGCCCAGCACTTAATCCATTACCAGGGAAGACAGCCAATCCATTAAAAACCCCAACAACTGAAATGCAAGGCGCCGTCATTTCAGCTGTAGTCGCTCAGCCAGACAAGTGCAGGGCCTTCAAGAAACTCCTCTGATAGTCTAAAGAGTCTTGCACATCTCAGGATACAGAGCAGAAGAAAAGCTTGGGCAGGTTGCATGCCAATTTTGAATACACCTATCCCCACTTCATCAGAAAGTTGATGAAAGAAAGATCTGTGAGTGATATTAAAATGACTGAAGCCGTCCCTAAAGATCTGTTTCTAAAAAAACGCCAGTAAATTGATGTCCATTTCCTACCTCTTCAACCCTGGTCTTTTTAGAGCTTCCACCCCTACTGAACGCCATTTAATTTTTTTTTTCTTCTCTCGCCTGAATTCCTTCCAGCTTCCCATCATCTCTCTTTGATATTTAAAGCCAGAGGATGGCCTCACAGGCACTAGGTGAAACAGAGTTAGTTACTCCATCTTATTATTTGGCATTCCTATTAACACATCCCAGAAGAAAAACCTCACTTCAAACATTTGTTAGTGACCACCAGCCACTGCTGACCACACTGTTTGACTGAACTGCTGGCTTGATGTTTGTCGCTTACTCTGTGCATGTAATCCTCTGTTCTTAATTGCAGACTACTCTTATGCTGCTGAAACCACGTCGCGTACATTGGTTATCATCCAGCACTCAACATACCGAACAGGGCCAAGTGAGGGTGCATCTCTGTAAACCTCACAGAAGCTTTTCAAAGAAAACTGTTAGCGATACCTGCGCGTGGAATATTCTTTTCTTAAAGTTGTGCACCCACCAAATAGCAATTTATTCCTGACCAGGTCTCCATTAATTTGCCTACAACAAAGTCACATTCCTGTTTTACTGCTTTCGTTCCTTTGAATTTGTGATTTTCAGATCATATCCCTTCGACACAATCTGTTCTTGAAAAACCCATGTTAACCACTCATCGTGTTATATTCAAACCGATTGAGGATTTGCTCAGTTACCTTTCCAGGTACCAAAGCTAGGCTGCTGGGTCTCTGGAACTCCTCAAACCCTCTTTCCGTTCACTTTTTAAAGACGTGTCTCCTCGCGCTGTGATGGTACCTCTCTCAAAGTTGCTAGCTTTTGGGTAGCTGCTTAACCCTCCGGCTAAGGCTGGCGCTAGCCACAGGCTTTAGCTTCTGACCGCTGGGGGCTACAGCGGGGCGGGGGGAGAAGAGAGCAGGCGGCGAGCTCCACGCCCCGGCATGCCACCACGCACCCTGCAGCTGTCTGCTAGCAAATCTGTGTGCTCACAGGCCCCGTTTTAATTTGACCTCTGCTTCAGAATAGCAACTAAACCAAGAATAAATGGAATATTAAACTTATTTTTTCTGTTATTCAAGGAATATTAATTAAGAGATTGCTACAAGTTAACATTTTTTCCTGCAATTTCTCTAAGCTAGAGAAGTGGCAGTCAAGTTCTAGACCATGAAAAGGAACTGCAGCAACTTCGCTCTAACAAAGGTAATGCCCCAAACTAAAACTTTTATGACAAAAATGAATTCATAGTTTCCTGTTCCTGACAGTGACCCTAGCTTTCAGAATTCTTATCATGAATTAGTTTTGGTGATCCATGAATTTATTTCAACAAAATTGCTATTTCTATACCACTGTTTATCCGATCCACAGAATTAACACAGGTTTCTGGTACGAGGCTATAGAATCCTTCTTTCCTCCCAATTTTCCTGACTCTGAAAATGGCTTCTCTGATGTAATAACCTGTCAACTTGGAGTACAGACAGATTTTAATCATAGAAACCAAAGCCTAAGTGAAAGCTACTTAGCTGCGAGTACAAAGAAATTTGAAGTTGAATTTATAAAAGCTATATAATAAGAAAACTCTTAATTTGGATAAAAAACAAGAGGAGATGTTTCAGCACTATGTTTTTTCTTCCAGATGCCCCTTCCCCACCCAAATGCTACACAATTGGAATTAGTCCTCTAAAAATATCTAGGTTAAGGTGTCCCTAGTCAGCATACTCTATACCATACTCAGGAGTATAGTATCTCCACTGATACCATAAGAAACTTGTTTCAATATGCTGTTCCTATAGGAAGACGCTAAATCGAATGCTGTAGGCGTGATACTCTCCCAGTGTTATGGCATCAGCTGCAAGGTAGAGACGCATCCCAACACCCGCAGTGCACAGGCAGCCGTACGTGCACTTGCCAGCTCTTACCTGCTGTCTGCCCACTGAGGCTCGGCAGCATTGCCACCACACAACACACACACACGGCCGGCTCCTGTCCGAAGGCTGCTTCCTTCAGCAGACGTGGAAGAGAAGGGTTCTGGAAAACCTCCTCTCACAGAAGAACAAGCTTCTGGCCAATACACATATAGCACTGCAAAGACCCCCTATGTAGGGCAGAATTCTTCTGATATTGCCCAAAACGTCATATTTAAGTCAAGTAATACAGTGTGAATGTAACTAACTCAGTATCATGCATGTATCAGAAGTCTTGACTTAATCTATTTAAACGTGTAGTAATTTCCAAAAGCATTTTAAATTTCTTGTAATGAGTGAATATATATGAAAGATAACACATTAAGACTATCTTTTACACAGAAACATACTACATTTCATTTCAGGCTTACTCTTAGAAGGCCACCCGCTGTAACGGTGCACTGTATTTTCCAGACAGGCACTATTACAGATAGAAAATGAAGAGATTTTCTTAATATATTGAAGTATACGATATTGCCCAACTTACTTTGCTTCATCTTCTGCAAGTCACTAACTCTGCTCTTTGGAATTTTTATATGGTCTGTCTCAATTTTGTGTTCTTCCTGATTTTCTGTATTTTCTTCAAAATTTAAGTGCTGGAGAGAATTTGGAGGTATCTGCTTCACAGTATCAGCATTTCCATCGTCGTCACTGTGCAAACCTAGAGAATGAGGAAGCGTGTGTGGTTTTCACATGGTTCCAGAAGGCAGCTATAATATTACTGCAAAAGGTAATTCATCACATTTTAACACGTAATCAATCCTAAGTTGTTACCTTCTCCGCTGATTTTCTGTATGTACTTAAGTGCTCGATGAAGCCCAGAACAATAATACGTTTATGGTTTTTTTTTTTAATCCTCCTGCTGATTCTGCTTTTCAAATGTACTAAGCATCATTTATTGCTTCAAGAGCTATGATCAGAGGAGAAGGTTGCAGGAGGTCACACAAGTTATGCTAAAAATAATAAGCAGAATCACAGGACTACATAACCAAGGAATACAGAAAACCCTGGTCCCCTGGAAATTCACATCAACCAACTTTCCATTTGCTATCTTTTATATTTTTTGTCATTAATAAAAGTCAAAATGAAGGACTACCTCAGAACAACAAAAAGAAACAAACTATTTAAAAGATTTGACATTTGGAAATAATAAACTTTAAATGTGCATACAGGCTTTAAGCTCACTAAGTCTGATATTCTAATCTGCTTACACATCCACTGCAAAAGGAAAGAAATGAAGAAATACTTCTGTTGCCGTTTTTCAAAAGAACCAATAACAGATATAAACAAGCTGTCTGGTCATGTCACAAATACATATTGAGCACGTTATATTTAATGGTTTTTAGCAGGACAGCATCTGAACATTACACCTGCAGTGCAGATATAACCTAACGTTCTCTTTGACATTAAAGCCAAGTGACTTGATCCACGAGCACTAAATTTATTTTCTACGGATTTGTGCCCTTTCTAACTGCAATTCTTCTAAACCCCTTCACTGCAGCACTTTGAGTTCTCTCGTGTCCTAAACCTCCCCCCCATCATCCTCAAGCGAGCTGTTCACAGAAACAGGGGGACACTGAGCACGTGATAGTACCGCTGCTTAATCTCTAACTGCCCACCAACAGATCAACAATCAACTCCTGGTGATATGCTGCAGCCCGAATTAGTACCCCTAAGGAAGAGTACTAACTTCAATTACTCTCCTCTGTCCAAGTGGAGAAATCTTGAAGCACGTACCTTTGAAACTTTTAACTGTCAAATTTGGCTGAAGTTGGTCAAAAGGCTCAGAAATTACTGGGTGTGTGGGGGACAAGAAGAGGTCGTACAACCAGCAACCTCGGTGCCTCGGGAGGCCAGACTAAGAACACACTCAACCTTGTATCCTGCAGAAATTGGTCTTCATTTTTCTTTTTGGAACCACATCAAACGTGAAAAAGGGGCTGGCCACGTACATCTAGCATTCACCGTATAGTAGCAGATATTAAACGTTAAGTCTCCTACAAAATGTTGACTTGTCACCCACTAGTAAGAATGTTACCTGGTGCCAGATTTGGAGCATGGGGCTGTTCAGTTGGAAGATTGATAACAGGTTGATGACCTTCACTTTTAGGAGCTGAAATCAGTGGCTTCTTTAAAGCTAAAATAAAATAAATAGACAAAAACATTAACATGAAACTAACAGACACTACATACCAAGTCTTCCTCTAACAATGCTGTGAACTTTTTTGCTGTTATTGTTTTCTTGTTTTTAAACTGTAGATGAAAACATAAAATACAAGATTTCAGGGCATGGGGGACAGTATCAGAAGCATTCGGTTTTTAGAATTCAAACCTCTAAAGCACAGTAAAAATTATCAGATTTTACACCCCACTTGAGTTTTATTACCATAGACAGATTTTTAAACTTTGCATTCACTACGGAACACACGGTATTCAGACAGAATATATACGCCACCAAGAACCCAAATGTAAAAGTATGCGAATATTTCTCCTCACCAGTGGGAGTATCTTCAGCTTTAGCAGGGTCGTTATCTTCTATTTCAGGCATGCCTGCATCTCCTCCTGGTTTCATTTTCTCTGTAAGACAAGAATAGGATATTCTGCCTTATGAACCTTTAAGTTTGAACAGTGAACTTCCCTCTGTAGAAGGCTGTAAGACCAGAAGAAAAGTCCTTTATCCACAGAACACGTCCCATATTGATAATTGCAACTACAACACTCCTTATATTGTACCGTCAAGGTCACTGAAGACTGCTTTGGAGCAGTGCTCCCAAAGTCAGTGCAATCCTCAGAAAAGGATGGGAAACAGATGCACTGCTCTTGGTAGCAGAGTAAGAAAAGCCTGCTGCGAGAAGCTGGCCAGAACAGCCACGGAACTGATACAAAAAGGTGCTGATTCAGCAGCACAGAAGTAGAAACAAAGGGAACCCATCTGCCTTTCGGAGAGGCCCACAGGGAGGAAACAATGGCCATAGTTACTCACTGAGCGCCTCCTGTACGGCTCCTGATAACCAAAGGTCCCCACTGCTCCTGCTGACTTACCCAGCTAGAGACTTCTCACAGCGGTTCCGACGCTCCTCGCCTCCAGCCACCTTCTCTGTGTGGATTCCAGCTCTCCACCAACATGCCCCTTCCCTCACGCACCCCAAGACACATCTCACAGGGACCGGAGGCAACCCCCAGTTCGCAACTGGCCACGTGAGGAAGGAGGTGCCAAACGAACCAACAAAGTGAACACAGAACTGTGCAAGAAACTACTTTCATAAAGGGATCCAAAGGACACGCCAATCTCTGGATACCTATAAACTCTAACTTAGTACAATCACATGCAGCAGGTCAAGTTATCCGAGCCAAATAATTCATTGTTCTACTTCAGAGAAATGCACAATTCTGTACGACAGCAAAGGATACAACACAACTGGCCCATTATCTATCAGAAATGACAAAAAAGAGGAAATACCTTTGCCGTTTACAACACGATCTGAAGGTTGTTCATTCTTTACTGTATTTTTAGCTTCTGCCTCTGGAACAGTCTTAGATATTGCCTGGTTGTCGTTATTTGGATTTACTTCAGTGTCTTTACTGGACTGAATTTTTTGTGTGGCCTGCTAGAACAAATTCATAAGGAACCAATATTAAGCACATCCCTGAAAATTACAAAACAAACCCCCTCAAATTCAAGATTACTTTGGGTAAGCAAAATCGCATTTATGAATTAGATGATCACCAAAGCAAAAAACAGCAGAAGTCCTCTATATACAAACCTGAACCCTGAGCGTAGGAGATGAGAGTATAGATACATAACTGAACAGAAAATGTAAAATACAGCATGGCTGTATATTTATATTGGCATATGCAGGTCTTTAGTATAATGCCAACAAGTGAAGGCCTTAAGCCTCATGTCAGAGACTTGGAAACAATTCTAGATTTTAAGAAAGATCCAACTGAAATCCACTTCAAGTCTGCCTTATTATTTGAAATGTGTGTAAACAGAGACAAAATAAGGAAATGAAATTTTAAGAAAAGCAGGTTATTTCATCTGTTTGTAGGAGAGGCCCATACTCTACTGGCAGCTTGCACCATGTAATTACACCCTTGATACCATTCTAATACCATTGTTATTTGCATCACATTAGCACCTCGAGGCCTCAGCAGAGATCAGGTTCCCCTTTGCAATAACCTATATAAGGTTCTAAGAATATAGATCCTACCCTGGAGAGCTATAAAGTAATATCCATTTTACAGAGAAGAAACCAAAATCCTTAGCAATGATGTGTAGGCAGGCTGTAACAGAGCAAAGAATTAAGCCTGATCTTCAAGGCTCAGTTCACTGACGGAGCAGAACAGGCAGATGTTCTTATACTAATGCCCATTTAGGGCTGCTCAGGACGATATTTAACGAAAAGTTAGGAGAGAAATGTCCAAGGCCTCCGTATGTCTGAAATTCTGAGTCAAACAAACAGCAGACTTCGGGCTCCTCTAATTCAACAAAGAAACTTAGCCACGCGTTACCTTTTGTTCCCGCACAACTTGGTCCATTAATTTCTTTATGCTTTCTTCATGTTGCAGTCTCATTTCCTTGATCTGCTGCCCACACTGCAGACTTGATTAGAAACACATTATTAGTTATATTTCATTTGTGGTATCTGCTCTCCCATAAATAAAATAGGGGGAAAAATATGAAGTGGCACAAAAAGCCAAACCTGAGATATAATTAGAATAGTCTGTCCAAAAAGCCTTGTCCTGGAATGTGTATGGAGTGGAAATGGACTGAATACAGAAAGAAAGCAGAACTGGAAAAAATAGGGACAGAGCAGAAAAACAGTAAAATAAACAGAATGGCCTTGAACATATTTCCTCCAAAACCTGGAAAGCAACCGAAGAGTCAAGCTTCACACTTAATCTGTCATCAGCATATATTAATTCCACTAGGAAAGCAGTATATCTCCCATGGCTGTCAACACAGAAGATGCACAACTACTACTATCCGCTACTGCTACCAACACAAATAAGATCTGAATGACAGTGTGTGTGTGATTCTGTGTGACAGAATGACAGCTGAGTGTCCCGACTTCTCGAACAAGCCACACAGAGATCAACCCAATTCAACAAAAGCCACAAATACTCACAGCACACAGAGTAAAGACCATTTTTGCGTGTGTGAAAGTTTCAAACATTTTCTCAAGTGTTCATCTCCCTCATTCCTCAAAGCTTCAGAAGTAGCTGTTCTCCCTGCTTCTCCATCATAAAATTAAAGGCTGAGGTCAACTTGAAATTTCAATCTACACAATGCTTTCAACTTCAGTTGAAAAAAAATAAAATTACACTTTTAGAAAGACAGCAATTAACAACCCTGGCAGCTTACAGAACTGTCTCAATTAAACTCTTCCAAGTATTTATTAACTAAGATCTCTATGTTATAAAAAATGCATTGACTTAAAATTGTCCAGCGCTGAACAATTCCAGTACGTCAGATTTTTCTTAGATCAGGTCTCACCTTTTTTTAGGAGTAGAACACCACAAAAAAAATAGAACTTTAAAATCAAACAACTAGCTAAGTCAAAGCTACATCACCAAGTGAGTACACTCAAGTTTCAGGATTAGCAGAAATAGGATTAATTTGCACTTTTTAATAAATGCAGACTTCCATTACACATACACAAACCTACAGTTACTAACATTCTTGAAGACATACCTATCATATTCCAATCTCTTTGTAAGGTAAGTATTGTTCTTCTTGTACTCGTGAAGCTGATCTTCCTGGCGAATGAATTCCTGACGTAATTCTGCTAGTTGTTCTAGACAAAAAAGTAAAAATCAACATGAATATAGAAATATAAGAAAAAAAACACCCCATAGCAGATACAACTTTCAATATTGCTATATAAGTTAAAAATTATGTTATTTCTTCTAGATATACTTTAAAGATTCTTAAACTAGCTTGGAAAAGATGCCAATTTACTCATGCATGCCAGATGTCACTAGGAATGATAAACAGTGCTTCTGACATTATGCCAAAACCCCTAACTTTTTCTTTATCTTTTCACTCAGAAGACTTACATAACGCTACTTCACCTATCTGTTGGAAATCTCCTTAACTTCCTGTTATTCTGAGTAGCACTAAATTACTACTAGGGTACTTCAGGCACAACGGCCAAATATTCTTCCTCTGCAGTAACTGTACAAAAGAAGGTACCTTCACACTATCCATAAAACCAATACGTATTTCCTGTCTTCACAATTGTTCTAGAAGTCCTTCTCCCTGCTCCTCAGGCTACAAATAATTGTTAAGCTTCCTACTATTCCAAGTTGCAACTACACAGATAGAGGCAGAAACGCTAAGTATGTTGTCTGCAGGTACGTTCAAATTCTGGCTTTAGCCGTTCCAGGTCACACTGCCACCCGTACAGTCAGATTACAGGCACTGTAATCATGTCTGTATACAACAGCCTTAAAAGAGGTTTTCTGGACCTTTTCTAACCCAGCATAAGTATCACAACGTTGCCGATCCAAACTATACTAAACTGTGTATCTGAAAATGATTCTAATATCTTGGAAGTAAGCAGTGCCAGAATACATGTTATTTCTGCAGACAGTGGAGCAAAGTCTATGAGAGCCAACCCTACGCTTATCCAGACTAGGTCATAAACAATTATAATGGAATTTCACGTTATGCGATGTTCCAGCATCGCTTGATACTTCATTTAGAATGTATTCTGCGGTACCTAGGCAGTTAAAAAATACACAACCTCACAGTCTGCCAAATCGCCGTTCAGCCATAAATTCCTTACCCTTTAAACGATGTATGTCTGCCATTTGATATGATATGTTGTTCTGCAGCTTAATCTGAAAGGAAGAAACGGTTATATAAATATAGGCAACCTGTGGGTTAGGGAGGGTTTAGACTGCAAACTCAGGTGTGTTGGTTTTCACTGTGAAGACAAGTACATGAAGGATTATCAGAATGACGTATACAAAGTTCTTGTAAATGTAAGTAATGTGTACTTAGTTATCTGTAAGCGATATCACCAACCTAAAAACTGTATTTAGGCTTTGCTAACAAAAAATTTCCAGAACATATTTCTATCAAAAAAGTAGATCCCGTCAGGACTCAAATAAACACACTGCATTCCGATACTGCAGGAGGAGATGGTGAATTTCCAATGTCAAAGTATAAAGGTATAAAAATAAACACGCAGCATCATTAGCAAAACCAGTTTTTACCTAATGTATATTTAAAGTAATTTTTTTATGTGATGCTACCTAATATTCATAACACACGTTTTATTTTTCAAAGAGAACCTGATACCAGCAGACTTCCGCAACAGCTTTTAATTTGGTATTTTTAGTAAGGAAGAAATAGCAGTTACAATAAATAAGAAATGCACCTACACAAAGTCATTAACTGAAGATGCTTTGTCTTGTTCTTACGTAAAGACTATCTATATAAGACAAAAAATAGCAGAAGTTAAGAGAAAGATGCACATGTGGAACATACTGAGAAAGGATGGAAAAAATCCATGACCGTCATCAGGCAACACCGATTCTGTAATTAGTTTGGTTATAGTCTCACGACTGGCACGAACAGTAACTCTAGAAGGGGTGCTGGAAGAGGGTTGTCGTTCCTGGGTTACAAGCTCAGAGTTACCAAAATGCAGGCTCTCGGAATACCAAAATGAAGTACAAGCACACCTACTCTGGCGCGGGGCAGACGCCGCACAGGCTATTTCGATTCCCACACAGATTCTGAGGCTCAGTCTCTGAGTCAGTTACCTACATTTCCTGCCAAAACAAACAAAAAAGACATATGCCCTTACTTTAAAACTTCCTCCACCCACCTCCACCTTCCTTTCTATCAAATTATTCATTTCTTTAAAAACATTTCACGGAATGTTTTTGTTTTAAAAAGAGGCACTCAAACTCCAGCCTGTCTGATTCGATTTGTCCCATATGGGTTGAGGCAGGCGTTTATAACTTTAGGAACTACGGCCATACAAGAACTGCTGAAATCGTGATTTTCTGCAGAACACGGCGTACACGGAGGCACGCATCCAACGGCTCCAGTCACATAGTAGAGGCTCCTTATGAAACGGAGTGCTCCAGCGAGAGGTTCGTTTGTGCCAGGCTGCAGCATCCCGGCTCATCCCGAGCAGCAGCGCGCGCACGGGCAGCGCTGGCAGCAAACCCTGCCCCGTGGCAGAGCGCGAGAGCCAAGAGGGTTTCGGGAGCGTCGAGAGGCTCCCGCTGCCGGGGGAACGCCCAGCCACCTCACAAGGCTTTTCCCAAAAAAAGAAAGAATGGCAAATGATGCAATCTTTTGGTAACCCGAGCCCCTGACCACGTTGCTCTCAATGACCACACAAAATACAAGCACCCAGCAGGGACACTTCAGGAGCCTTCTCCAAATGTTAGAGCATTTGAGAGCAGGTTACACACGCGCTCTGCCCACCAACACGTGTATAAGGCACCCTAGGTACAGGACGCACAAAGAACGCTCAATTAAATGAAAGCCTGTGTTGGACTTCCCGTGCTTTATTTCAAAAGCACGAGTAACCCCCGTGGTGGGGACTTCGGGCAGAAGTGCAATGCAAAAGCAACAGCCAAGCCTTTCTGTTCCAACAGGCGCCCGTCTTGCCAGCTCGCCATCGAACGGACACCAGGACAGGGGAACAGATACAAAACGAGCGACTTGTTGAGCATGAACGGAGAAGTCTCTTTCCCCATTTTGCAAAGCCACTGGCAATAATGACCAGATTTTTTTCCTGTCTTCCACTCTAAACGCAGTTGTTTCCCAGAACCCAATAAATCTACAAACAAAGGAGATCCTGGGAAGTAGTGGGTTCTGTTTTCAAACCTTCATCTATCAGGATTCATCACACAGAAAGCCTTCCCACTGGCTTCCTTCTGCTCATCCTACAGACGTTCGACTTGTAATGGGCTGGGGGAGGGCTGCCTGTCTGTAACAGGAGCTCGGTTTGAAGACAGCATTGCTTTTATCACACAATCTTTCATTTTGGCAATCTTGAGTTTCAGAGGAAAGTGACAGAATTTATATCCAAAACAGCTCAGCTGACAGCAAATGTCCCTCATCTGAGGCATAGAAAGGGAAGAAGCTTTTTTTATGATTCATGGGATCTGTTCTACCCACACATGCAAAAAAACACGCTCCACAAACCATGGCGCAAGTCCAGTTCTTTCTGAGCTGTGTCTTCCTTGAGTCTAGACCTATCTGTACTGTTGATATTTCTCAGTAGCTTCTCAGATCCTTTCCAAAGCAGTTGGGATGTATAAAAGAAAACCTCTGTAGCCCAATGAGCTCTGCACAGGGAAAAAAAACATCAAAAACCCTATGCATGCTGGAGCTATGCACATGCAAGGCAACCTTCCAGTGCTGTCTGAACTGTTAACAGTCTTGTCATATAATGAAAGGCACTGTAAGGAAAAAATGTTATAAACATGCCGGAGCTTAGCTCTACATATGGCAGGACAGAGCACAGGTGGTATTGCTCCCTGATGAAATTAGTGGTAAACTGTAAACATCCGCCCATATTTCCCTGTGAGTCATTTCTTTACCTAGCAAGAACACCCTCCAAATTGCCCGTCGAAGCAGCACAAGCAGGCGTCCGTACTCCTCTGGGCAGCTTCACGAGCCTGGGCATTCCCAATGCATTGCGCCGGAAGAGCACAGGAAAGCTGTTTGAAAGTCTGCTTGCACAAGGGTCTGTATGCCACAACTCCGTGATCCTTCTACTACTGACAACTGTCTTTTTCAGAATAAGCAGCATTGTCATCAAGCAATTAGTACAGCGTCAGCGATGACATCGTGATCATCAGGAACACGCAGTAAGATTGGAAGATGCACTCAACATCACTGCTGTAAAGCTACAGCTTTGCAAACGGAGGAGCTAGCAAGGCATTTCGGCAACAAACATAACCAGCTGCTCCCAAGGATGGTTTACTAACAGTTTCATCCCGTGAAGCACGGTTTCTAGGCACCAGCTAAGGGGCAAGGCTGCATTACACACCTGGCACGGCCAGCAATAGCTTTGGGATGAGAAAGGCGCGCTCCTGAGAGCTGCAACAGCAAACACAGAGCTACGAACCCCTACACGCTGGATGGCTGCCATTTGGAAGCTCTCCACCACAAATTCCTGCCATTCAATCATTTTACTGAGCTTATTGCAAAGGGATGTGCAAAGTTATGAAAAAAAAAGTATCCTCATGGTATGCTGCAAAAAAAGCGTGAAATACTCGGGAAACTAATGCTAACTCTGCATGCATCGCCTCCCCAAACACTGGGGCAACCACTAGCCCTGTTTGCCTCCCAAGAGGAGCTCCAAAGGAGAACTCCTCTGGCTTGTTCCAAGGTCCAGCAGACCATCACGAGCTCACCAAGATGAGCACAGGGTGACAGGAGAATTCCCAAGAACTCAGGCTTTTTCTTTTCTTTTTTTAACCACAAGACACTAGGTCACGCTACTACGTTGCTTGTAAGAGCAAACAATGCTCTGGTGCAGTGTGACCACGCACGCCGGGGGAGGGAGGAGAGGCAAGGGTTTGGGCTTGACTTTAGGTATCACTGAGCTAGGAGGAAGCTGTCTGCAGAAATTCAAATTGTCTCAACACTGGGAAATGCACACCTGCTTTACATGACCACAAGGCAAAGAATCTCTTATGAAGACAAAGGAGCATAAAGCAGAATTGACACTATGAGAAACACCAGAGTAGCATCTTTCAAATTAGTTTCCTATGAAATTAGCCTAGATCTGTTGCAATCACTTGATACCCTGGGAATTACCAGTATTGGTGTTTTATTACAGCTCCTGAATTTCACAAATGGACTAAGATCATTGGTAAAACCAAATTTGTTCAAAGAACATCCTGGCCAAATTCTATTTTGAGAGGAAAAAAAAAAAATTATGAGTCAAGCCTTTTTTGGTAAGACACTTTACGACTACTCCTCACTTTTTTGTAACATACCTTTATTGTCTAAAATAGAGCTTTATTCTCTACTCTCTAAAGTACAGTCACTTAAAGTTCTTTTTTTTTTTTTTAAGAAAAAAATTGCCACTAAGAATATGACAGTGGCTCACATGGGAGGAAAAGAGAAAAGGACGGTGACTGGTTATGGATAAAACATACTGCTATTCTTGCCTCAAGGCACATCGAACATTTTGAGCACAAGTAAAGAGGAGAGGATATTCAAAAGCTCCTAGCTCACATGACCTTAAATGGCAGCTTCTGGAACAAAGAATGAAGATACAGGGCATGCACTGCAGTTTGCATACAATTAACAATAAAATTAACTTGTGAGCTTTACTAGTCACATTTCTCTTGCTCCCCTCCTGCTCTGCCCTGCGAGGTGCCAAACTCCGAGAGCACTCAAAGCCCAGCCAGATTTACAGAGAGCAACAAAGCAGTCAGCAGGGAGGTGCAGCTCGACAGCACCTCAGTTTGCATCATGTGCATCAAAGTGGGCTCTGGCTTCCAGTAACCCCTGCTAGACACCCTGACTTAGCCTTGCGTTTTGCCTCCTGGTGTCCTGCAGTAAAACGCTACAGATTTCCAAAAAATACAAGTTTCTTGTACGAAAAGCAAGGCCTGCCACACAGCCCAGTGACTGACAGCTTACCTGAATACCAGCAGTGGAGTTTCCCACCTGTCAGTCAAGTTACAGCAATGCATGAAACGAGTTCATTGCCCTGTGAACACAGGCTAAGTAACGGGAACACAAAATCAACCTCATCTACATAAAGAGCAGCCACACGGCAAATACCCACCTACATTACTTCCCTTGAATACTCTTAGCCACCTCCCCGACAGCCTGCAGCTCGGAGGCAGTTTCA